AACCCTTTTGCACATACAGTACTGCGTTGTCAGTGAAGGCAAACATGGGTATACGGGTGGATAGATGGGTGGACAGGCTGAATCAGTAGGTATGTCTATGAAGCAGAGAGTGTACTCAAGACCATGTATAGGCTTGGCTGTCCTATAGGTTTATTTGTATGATCTGAATTCCCAAGTGTACAGTAGAGCTGACAAGGGGCAAGGTTGTGGTCACTTCTTGGTCATGACCAGCTACCCAGAGGGACTGAGTAGTTGAACCTATGGGCTCGGGACCATAGTCGCAGGGGACATCAAGCTCAATTGGCATAACATACTACATAAAACATTGTTCTACCTCCTACTTTGGCGAGTAGTGACTGGGATCTTAAAAGCTTGCAAGCTGCCATCTAGATGCAACACTGGTTCTCTCCTCATCCAGAGCAAAGAAAAATGAAGAAAACCAAAAATTCATGGAAACAATTAGTCCTAGTGACTGGTACGCTATGTGATCTGCAGCCTATATGACTATGAGACCAGAAGAACTAGATGGTGCCTGGCTACCACTGTCAACCACTTGGAGGCGGATCTATGTCAGAGATCCTTGATAGAGAGGGAGAACAATGTGGAATAAAACTCAAAATCATTTGGAGAAAAAAATAAAAAAGGGTGGGACCAGGTTTGCCCGTCTGATAGAGCCTGGTGGAACCACTGAGACTATGGCCCCTAGCTGCCCTTCAGGTCTGGAATTGAACCCACACCTGTTGCTTCCAGCCAAACAAAAGACAGGCATATGAGTTGAACATTTACCTGAGGTAGATACTCTGTGGAGAGAACAATCATGGGAGGAAGAGGGGCTGTTTATGCACAGGGAGACAGCTCAGGAGGCAGGAGTGCATGGAGGGATGGACCCAGGGAAGAGATAACTATCGGGAGGATGTGGGAGGGGAGCTGTTGCATTGTGGTGAATTGTAGTCAATGTCATGAGACAAAGTATATATGAAGTGCTGATGGAAAGTGAATTTTCACCCAAATCACACAGACATACACAGCATTGCCTCCTTCCAGAAATCCTCTGGATGAAGGTGTCCAGCCCAGCTCCTCTTGGGCCTCATTAGCACATAGCCTAGTGCCTTTCATTAAAGGTCTTTCAGCAGATGCCTGTCAAAGGTTGAAGGAGCTTGAAAATATATACCTAGATGATTGGTGGTGCTTCGAGAAGGATGGGGTTTTTGAGTTGTATCTAGCTTGGGAGGAAAGGTGCAAAGATGTTTTTAGGGGTCATGAGTTTTTCATTGTAGTAGGAAGCATCTTGTTAAAGCAGAAAAGAAAAAGGAAGGATAGGGCCAGGACTAGAGATGATATTTTATTTCATAAGATTGGAATTGATCCCTCCTTATTGTGTTGTGTGACTGATGAGCCACTCTAAACCCTTCCTACTTAGGCCGCCAGATTGTGATGTGCGAGAACTTGAGGTCTGGCTCAGTCCTGCTTTTGCCTCTGTTTTTGACATGGTGGGTTTAGACTGTATGTGTTGGCATGGACAGCTGGCACATCTACAGTACCTCCACCTAAGCTCAGCCAGGGGCTGCCTGGGACTGCTTGGCATCAAAGCCAGCTTACTTGCTTGTTACTGTTGCTCTGAGTGAGTCTCCAGTTCTTGGAATACATCCAGGCTTTCCCAGGTTTCTCAGTTTGGACATTTTAAATCTGGATTCAAGAGCATATCCCATTTCATTTGATTCATAAAGTGAATTGGGAAAAGAAGTTTTGGCTTTACACTGAAAACATGTAAGTTGAAATTCATGGAATTTTATGGGAGCAAAGATGTGTTACATCCACAGGCAGTTTCTGTAGGTGAAGTTGCATGCTCTTCAGTAGGGAAAAATAACTTCAAATGGTGAGATTCTTTCTTATGCAAAGAATAGTAGTTGGGTAACAGGCTCACTAGAAACTGGACAGGAAATCTTAGACATGACATGGGCCCTGAGAATCTATCAAGAATAGCAGAAGTCCGTGAGCACAGACCACACTCCCCGCTCTCCCTCTACTGACTCGAGTGGGCCTCAAATTGGGTCAGTGGGGAATGCTTGGAAGTTGAACCAACCTCCTCACTTTTATTTCAGATCATCAGAAAAGCCCTTACTGAAGAAAAACGTGTCTCTACAAAAACATCAGCTGCAGACCTTGTGACAGAAACAGATCATCTTGTGGAAGATTTAATTATTTCTGAGCTGCGAACACGGTTTCCTTCACACAGGTGGGTATATTCCTGGTGAGAAACCACTCCACAGCACCCTCCCATGCACATAAGCAAAGCCAGGATTCAACATAAGGAAGCTGTACTATGAGTTGATGAGGGGCAAACACATAAAACATAAAGTTTATGGTCTGAGCCTGATGGTTCAGTTGCATGTTAACCAAACTGGCCCTTGTTTTCATTCTTTTTACTGTTGTCAGTTGGCAGAGGACATCCTGTTGTTAAAGCAGATGAAGAAAGAAGAAAGGCTGGGGCTGAGAATTACGACTTTTTATTTCATAGGACTAGAATTGATCTTTCATGTCAGAATACTACCTTACAAATATTGAAAAGGTTCCACCTTTTACAGCATGCTTGGGAAGCATAAGCCACTTACCATATTGCTGGAGGGAACTAGAAGGGGAACAATCCACCGCACAAAGCCAGAGCAGTCATGTTCCCTGGCAGCCTCCTGCCTGCCCAGCTGTCCCAGGCAGACTTTCCCAAAAAGATGGGGCTTAGAGTGGGGCCCCAGGTCCATCATATGCTGTGTGCACCTCTGCCAGTGGTCACTAGTGTACTTCTTGTCCAGGGCACAGTTGGGCACAGGGCCTATTCTGTCCCCTGGATGAGACATATATGAGGATGCCTGTCCCCTCTCTCTAGAACAGATGTTCTTTATCTTTTGAGAGGTCACCCTATGGAGAATCTGATGCAAGCTGTTTGTCTTTTCCTCAGGAAAATGTACATTCAGATATCTACACAGCATTGTATATAGAGTTCGGAGAGAGCCATGGTCCCCAGATGGAGAATCTTCTTTACCTCTAGGGCATCCTGAGGCCCTTCCTTTACTCCTGGAGTTCTGCAGAACATATTTTAAAAACCACTGCCTTAGAGGCAAGGGTTCTTTTTTTTTTTTACTTCCTTATTTAGAATCATCTAAATCTACCAGCCACTCCATGGAAGGAAGACCGGGCAATCTACTTCTGTAAAGATTTACTACCTTGGAGACCCAATGAGGGTCACTATAAGTCACAATCGTCTAGATGGCAGTGGATTTGTTTAAAGAGGTTGGAAAGGAGCTCTGGTGGTGTGGTGGTTAAAGCATTCAGCTGCTAACCCAAAGGTCAGTGGTTCAGACCCACCAGCCATTCTGTGGGAGAAAGATGAGGCAGTCTGCTTCCATAAAGATTTACAGTGTTGGAAACTCCATGGGAGTATTCTACTCTGTCCTGTGAGGTTGCTTTGAGTTGGAATCGACTTGATGGCAGTAGGTTTTAAAGAAGTTGGATTCCTAAAATTAGAGGACCAGTTACTGGATTTCTGGGTGTAAATTTTTGTTACTGTCAAGATTCCATGTTTTATGTACTTATGTGGCAGAAATATACAAGGCAGCCAGTCGCCCTTGGTACTAATCTGGCACATGGTAGACAAAGCAGTGTGTTTTTTTCTAGTATGAATGATTAGTGAACAGAAGGCAAGGTTATATTAGAACATGCACAACCTTTTTCTTTCCTGTTACTTCTTTCTAACTACAGGTATGCATCACTTATCATTCACAATACATTCTATGACATAGAACATTATGTGATTTGAATGTTGTACGAACACCGTATCATATATAGGAGACAAATGTATAGGATGGTCACCAGGTAGGCCTGGGACTGCATAAAAACTTTGGTTCTGCCACCACATGTCTCCAAGAGCCATGCCTGGCTTCTACCTGTGTGCTATAGCACATAGTTGCCATCCATCTGGCTGCCTTCTGACCCGCCTGCTACCAATTTCCTTCCTTTCCTTCCTCTCTGCCTGCTTTCCCCGCCCTACGTAATGGCCTTTAAACTCTTCCTCTCCACCCTACCACATTACTAGGAGCTCTGGTGACATATGTCTAAGACATTTGACTGTTAACCAGAAGGCTGGTGGTTCAAACCTACCAGCCGCTCTTCAGACTGGACCTCTAGGCAGCTGCTATTGCAGGAGGAGCTATGGCCTCAGGCCTAGGTCTGACCAGGGGACCCAGGCTGAGTGGGTCAGTGGTCTCCGGTCTCAGTAGCTCGAATGGCATCTGAGAGGTCCCTGCAAGAGTGGTAGAAGAGGCAGCTGTGGATGGGTATCAGGAAACCCTCCACCTACCACCCCAGGGCCAGAGCAGATGCAGAACCTGGAGAGCTAGTGAGAGACAGATTGGATCTCCTTACTTAGCAAAGTATGTCCAGTATGTCCTATTCTCCAGTTGGGATTTCTGAACTCTATTATTACCTTATGGGACCACAGACGTATATGTGAATGAGTGTTGCCCAAAGGGATGGTACTGCACTTATCTCAGAGATACTGACCTTTCCCTTTGAAATTCTCTTTGCTAGTGAGTTTTGTTTTGTTGACAACCTTTGTGCTTGAGCTTCTGTTATTTACTATTTCCTTATTTCATTTGAACTAAGTAGCCCTGACATCTGTTGTAATATTTATAAGCTTTAAAATGTTTATAATTTTTTAACTTCTTAAAAGATAAATGACAATATCAAAAGAATTTATCATATGACTTGCTTTTATTCTTTGAGGGGAAAAAAATGTACACTATCCAACCAGCTATACCTACGTACTTTATGAACTATTTTGGTACTTAAAGTTTCTGAAGTAATAGTCCATGTGTATGTGACCAACCAGTAAAACCAGTTGCTGTCAAGTGGACTCTGACTCATGGCTACCCCCACATGTGTTGGAGTAGAGCTGTGCTCATAGGGTTTTGAATGGCTGATTTTTTGGAAATACATCACCAGTCATTTCTTTTGAGATGTCTCTGACTGGACTCAAACCAGCAATCTTTAAGTAACTGAGCTCTTAACCATTTGTACCACCCGGGGGCTTCATGGATATTACAGAAGGAAAAATATTGGTCAAGGATTGGAGGTCACTGAAAGACTGGTGTAATGAAGGGTCCCAGAGTTTCAGTAAGAGCTGACATTGCCTTTCTGGCCATGAGTGTTGGCCACAGGTGCTGGTAGTTTGCTTTGGATTGGATCCACTGTTGTGTACATACATGGAGGAGATTCTGTTTGGACAGGATAGATTTAAATATCCATTGCTGTATGTCACAGGATAAAATTCATGTGCTCTGCAGGTGGGCATGGCTTCCCCACCTCCACCCATGTAGCCTCAAGGAGTAGTGGATCTCATTAGGGTATGTATCAGGAACATCTGGGGAGCTGCTCCAAAGGCTAATGCCAGGTCTTTCTCTAAAAAATACCCCCAGCGACTCTGACACCCATACCTAATCAAAAATAAGTGGTTTGAGTGAAGAAAAATGGACTCAAGGAAACAGTCCAAAGGACTAATGGACTATGTGAACCACAGCCTCCACTACTACCTGGAAACCAGAAGAACAAGGTGGTGCCCGGCTACTACCACTGATCACTCTGATCAAGATCACAGTAGAAAGTCTTAGAGAAGGAGAAAAAAAAAAATGTAGAACAAAATTCTACATAAAAAGACCATACTTACTGGTCTGACAGAGACTATTAGAAACCCCAACACTATGGCCCTTAGATACCCTTCAAGCCTACAACTGAACCCACCCCCAGGGACCAGCTTTTAGGCAAGCAATAGACAGGCCTATAAGGTGAATAATAACACTAAACCAAACTCACTGCCATCGAGTTGGGTCCAACTCATAGCGACCCCTTCTTGGGGTTCCGAGGCAGTATCACTATGGAAGTAGATTGCCCAATCTTCCTTCTGAGGAGTGGCTGGTGGGTTTGAACCACCAGACTTCTGGTTGAAAGCAGTCAAATGCCTTAGGCACTATGCCACCAGAGCTCCTCATTAGCCATTAGAGAGATGCAAATCAGAACCAACAATAATCCCAGCAATAATAGCAAAGTTCAACAAGACAGATAACAACAAATGCTGGAAATGGTGTGGAGACATTGGAACCCTCATATACTGCTGGTGGGACGTAAAATGATGCAACCACTGTGGAAAAATTGGTATGGTGCTTCCTTAAAAAGTTAGAAATAGAAATACTATTTGATCCAGGAATCCCAGTACTAAGTATATATCCTAAAGAAGTGAGAGCCAGGACATAAATAGATATATGTACACTCATGTTCATCACAGCACTATTCATAAAAGCGAAGAGATGGAAACAACCTAAGTGTCCATGAACAGATGAATGGGTAACCAAACTATGGTGTGTATACACAATGGAATATTATGCAACATCGAAGAATCTGTGAAACATCTCATGATTCAGATGAATTTGGAGGACATTTTACACATGGAAAGAAATATTCTTTGATGTTACCAGGGATGGGAGAGGAGGAGAAGGAAAATTACTAACTAGGTAAGAGACATATATTAATTTGGGTGAAGGGAAAGAAAGAAATGGAAAAAAAAAAAATTGGTGGTTTAGAGCCATGGTTCCCAAATCCATTCCACAAGCAAGGTTAGTCCAGGCCTACCTTTTCAACAGCTTGTAGCACAGAACAACAGCAAGGGAATCGGGGTGTCAGGGTTTGGTGGCTCAGTCAGACCCAGTCTCTTTGCCTTACCTCTTTGTGGCTTAGATGAGTCCAGTAAGTTCAGTGCTCCATTCTTCTCTCAATTTGCTTAGAAAATTCAAATTAAATGAGATCATTTTATTCAGCATACCTATGTGATATATTCTTTTTTGGCCAGTGACTGAGATTATAAAGAAAGTATTAGAATCTTAGGCATGTAATTGTGTTTTAGATCATAGAGAAATTGATCAATTTGTGATGAGAAAATACATATTGTAAAATAGTAGGTTACGATTTTTCTGTGTTCAAAGTGTTTAAGTATACCATTTAAAAACTTAGTCTATCATCTTTTCTTAGGAAGGACTTTGTTTATTAGCTGTCTTAAGCTGGGTTCTCCAGAGGAGCAAACCAGTGAAGCATATATAAATATTGTTGTTGTTGTTAGGTGCCATTGAGTTGTCTCCAACTCATAGTGACCCTAGGCACAGCAGAATGAAACACTGCCCGATCCCATGCCAGCTC